TATCCCATCACTTATTTATCTGTTGTCCTCTTACGGATCATTCAAGTCCTTCCTAGCTTTTTCTGTTATAAGCAAGAATGTGGCACCCACTTTTATACACGAATCTCTGTCCAGTTTTTAATTACTGGTATAGCAGGTTCCCGGACGCGCGGTGCCCCAGCCTGGGAGCGTGCACTTTCGCTGCATCTTATCAAACTGCTTTCCAGAAGAGCCTCTAAGTGCCTCTTTCCCACCTTCCCAGGACCCAATACGGTGATCTGTAAAATCCTTACTTCCTTTGCAATTTCCTGATTTAAGTTGACACTTTTCACGTGTTTATGACTCACTGATACCTCATCTTCAGTTCATACCCTTTGCTCAGTGTGTCGGATCTTAGTGTTCTAATGTTCCGACCATGCCCTGCCACCTACTTCGCGCAGGAAGCAAGCCTCCAAGCAGAGGAGGCAGGGAGCGCGCAGGGCAGCCGCGGGCGCAGAGTCCTTCTGGAAATGGAGTTGTCCAAGTTTCGGCTGGACCAAAGGGGAGCTCGGGAGAGATGGCAGGGCGCTGGGACCGGGCAGCGGATGGCCCCGATCTTCGCCAGCGGCCGGAGACAGGGCTGGGAGCAGCAGGGCGCCGGGATGTTGTAGGGGACGAAGGTCAGTGCGGTGGGGACAGGCTCCGAGGATTAAGGAGGGGCGCGGTGAGGCGGTCGCCATGCGCTCAGTTGCGCCCCACTTCTCGCCCGCCCCGGAGCCCGAGCCACCAGCTCGGGCCCAGGCCCCTCTCTGCACAACCCGCCCGTACCTGTTGCTTCAGTTCCTGGCTGCGGCGGCGCAGGGCCTGGAGCGGGTCGCGGGGCCGCCGGGCCAGCATCTCCTCGGCTGCGGCGCCTGGCTCTCGCCGGTCGCCCGGGAAACCGAAGCGGCGGCGCGAGAAGGTGACATCATCGCCGCGCGCCGGTACCCGCTCTGAGCCTTGTCACGGGTGCTGGTCCCGCGAGGAGTGTGAGGGCGGCCTTCGCTGGCTGTCGTCCGCTCGCCCTGCCCGGCAGGTCCCGAGCCCGCAGCTCCAGCTCACTGCCTAGGCATTTTTCCCGCTAAATCCGAAGCGCTGAGGATCGCCGCTCGGCGAAACCACAAGTCCCCCAATACGTCAGCATCACCACGAAGTTCCTCTTGGGGCACTCCTTAAGGCATTTGTTTTCTGATAACATTTTTGCTAAACTTAAGATACAATTGAGAGGCCGGTGCCGTGGCTCACTAGGCTAATCCTCCGCCTGCGGCGCTGGCACAGCGAGCGGGTTCTAGTCCCGGTCGGGGTGCTGGATTCTGTCCCGGTTGCTCCTCTTCCAGGCCAGCTCTCTGCTGTGGCCCGGGAGTGCAGTGGAGGATGGCCCAAGTGCTTGGGCCCTGCACCCCATGGGAGACCAGGAGGAAGCACCTGGCTCCTGCCTTCGGATCGGCACAGCCATAGCGGCCAAATGGGGGGTGAACCAAGGGAAGGAAGACCTTTCTCCCTCTAACTCTGCCTGTCAAAAAGAAAAAAATACAATTGAGTATCTTAAAGTCTTTAACTGTAAATGGCCCAAGGACCTTTCCCATCTGGCCTTCTTGGGATGCATATTTTCACTTCAAGAGGTAGCTTTTAATTGCCATTTGGGGTGTGGTTGAAATTTAACATTGCGTTCCAGCCTCCCAGAACTGTTGCGGCCCAGCTGTTGCAGGTATCTGGGACGTGAACCAATGGATGGATGATTCCTGTCTCTCCGCCTTTCAACAACAAAATATTATATTTTAAAATGGATGAATAAATCAGTGCTTGGAAATGATCTCATTTGGTAAACTGAATGAAAAAAGATTGCACTAAAAACAAGCCATCGTTTATGAAATCCTCATCTATCCAAATGGATGTCTATAAATAACTAAGTAAGATTGTTTTGTATCTGTTAATTTATAGACTTTCATATTTAAAATGGAAAAGCTACAGGGTCTTGTGATACAATTCTGTCAGTAAAAATAAATACATGCCACTCCCCCTCAATAACTGTATGAACAAGGCAGATGGGTGCGAAGAAGTTCTTCACTTTCGTTCACCTGAGGTGGGAAGATGACTTTGCTCTCTTGCATTTTTTTTGAAGTTTTATTTATTTATTTGAAAGAGTCACACAGAGAGAGAAGGAGAGGCAGAGAGAGAGTCTTCCATCTGCTGGTTCACTCCCCAGTTGACCACAACAGCCAGAGCTGTGCCGATCCAAAGCCAGGAGCCAGGAGCTTCTTCCAGGTCTCCCCCATGGGTGCAGGGGCCCAAGGACTTGGGCTATCTTCTACTGCTTTCCCAGGCCACAGCAGAGAGCTGGATTGGAAGTGGAGCAGCCAGGACTTGAACTGGACCATATGGAATGCTGGCACTGCAGAAGGCGGCTTTACCCGCTATGCCACAGCACCGGCCCCAACCCCATGCATTTCTGTACTGTCTTGCATATCATTTCAGTTTGGTGGAAAGTAAAGTAGCAAGGTTTGTTGGGGTAGGGTATCCGTAAGAACGTTGGGCACCTCTCCACACAAAACCTGAGAGAGTGTGCAGACTGGGGAAAACAGGGTTTCATGGTTAAATGGAGACAATACACCTGGCGGGATGGGTGCTGAGCACACGAGGCCTCTGTTCAGACTGGGAAGAAAGCGGGTCCCGATTTCTCCTCTTCCTCCAGGACAAAGGGTTTGCTGAGGAAAAATCCCTCCCAAGGGTTCACTACTCAGCCCTGTCAGGCTGGGGAGCCTCCCCTAGGGGCCCGCCTTGGCGGGAGGCTGTGAAGGTTTTACTGCTCCGTGTTACCAGGCCAGGGACCCATCTGGTGCTGAGCAGTGAGACTGTCCTGGGAGCTTCCCTTGGGGTTAGGGCTGGGACCACCTGGGAATTTCTGGAGTCTGGGCAGGACTTTGCTTTGTAAAACCTGGGGCTGCTTCCAAGGTGGGCTTGTGCAGAGGCTGTGTTTGCCCAGCCCCTCTCACTCACATAGGCTAAGTTCTAACTTCCCACCTCACACTTCCATCTGTTTTTTAATGAGTAGCAAAGGGAATAAAGTTTGCTATTTAGAGGTCTTAAAGTAAGAAAACAATTTGCCTCAGATAAAATGATGCTGATTTTTTTTTTTAAAGATTTTTCATTTGGCCGACACCGCGGCTCACTAGGCTAATCCTCCGCCTTGCGGCGCCGGCACACAGGGTTCTAGTCCCGGTCGGGCGCTGGATTCTGTCCCAGTTGCCCCTCTTCCAGGCCAGCTCTCTGCTGTGGCCTGGGAGTGCAGTGGAGGATGGCCCAAGTGCTTGGGCCCTGCACCCCATGGAAGACCAGGAGAAGTACCTGGCTCCTGGCTTCGGATCAGCGCAGTGCGCTGGCTGCAACGCGCCAGCCGCGGCCGCCATTGGAGGGTGAACCAACGGCAAAGGAAGACCTTTCTCTCTGTCTCTCTCTCACTGTCCACTCTGCCTATCAAAATAAATAAATAAATAAATAAATAAATAAATAAATAAAAGATTTTTCATTTATTTGACAGGCAGAGTTAGAGAAGAGAGATATCTTCCATCTGCTGGTTCATTCCCCAAAAGGCAGCAATGGCCAGGGCTGGGCCAGGCCGAAGCCAGGAGCCAGGAACATCATCCAGGTCTCCCTTGTGGGTACAGGGGCCCGAGCACTTGGGTCATCCTCCACTGCTCTCCCAGGTACATTATCAGGGAGCTGGATCAGAAGTAGAACAGCTGGACAAAAACCTGCGCCCACGTAGGATGTTGGCATTGCAGATGGCACCTTTACCCACTCCGCCTCACACCAGCCACAGTGACACTGATGTTTAACGCTGTTCTCAAACAGCCTGCAAGCCAGCATGGCAGACTAGAAACGTGAAATTGTACCAACTGCTGCCACAGCGGTGCTACCTGGTGAAGAGAATTCTCTGCAAATGAACTGTTGATCAGATACACTGAATTAAGTTCCAGTGTAAGGCCACCCATTGCATATGGCCTCTCTCAGCCTCAGTGGGGGATGGCGACCTGGAAGTGACTGAATGGCAGGCAGCCTGGATGGGACGTGGAGCTTTAAGGACAAACACCCCCTCCCCCATCCCTGAGTACTGTGTTCACCATGAGAGCAAAGCTGGGGCTCGTCAGCCACAACAGCCCTAGTAAAATGAGGCGCAGGCTCCCCTCGGAGACAACTTCCTGAAAATTTTTAGGTTACCGTGAACCTGAGTTATCTAGCTATTTTATCTCTACAGGAGTGAGCAGGAGCGGTGTGCTAGGAACTCGCCAGGGACTCGATCCCTCTCGGTTTTCAGAGTTGGGATTCACCCTCGAGCTCTGCTCAGGTGGATTTCAGCTTCATATGAACACCCCGTGACACAAAGAGAAGAATTTTACCAATAGAAACGTCTGTTTTATGTACGGACACTCTGTAAGTGGGACACACTGTCACTCTTAGAAGGGCAAAGTCTTACAGACATGACTCGTACCTGTCATGTTGACAGTCCCCTGCCACCCTGCTTCAGAGCTAGCATTGAGGAACTGGCACAGCTTCCAACAGAAGGAAAATATCCAAAGCATTAACTCATCAGTTTGGGGAATCCAGAGTTCTTGAAGTGATACATTGTAAGGCAGGCAGGATAACTCTTTTCCCTTTGAAAAAAAAAAATTCAGGGGGCTGGTGCCCTGGCTCACTTGGTTAACCCTCCACCTGCAGCGCCGGCATCCCATATGGGCAATGGGTTCTAGTTCCGGTTGCTCCTCTTCCAGTCCAGCTCTCTGCTGTGGCCCGGGAAGGCAGTGGAGGATGACCCAAGTGCTTGGGCCCTGCACCCGCATGGGAGACCAGGAGGAAGCACCTGGCTCCTGGCTTCAGATCGGAGCAGCTCCAGCCGTAGTGGCCATTTGGGGGGTGAACCAACGTTAGGAAGACCTTTCTCTCTGTCTCTCTCTAACTCTGTCAAATAAATGGAAAAAAAAAAAAGAAAGAAAGAAAAATTCAAAGACGTTTAAAATACTTTATTTTAAAAATAAAACTAATTCATAAAGTGCAAGAAGAAAGTCCTTCTTTCCCGTGCTCCACGTCCATCGTCGACAAGCTGCTGGAAACAGAGAAGAGGGGGCGGAAATTAGAACTACATTACTGTACTGTGGTGGCAAAGCCACGAATCACAGGGTCTGGTGCTATGGACCAGAAAACCGAGGCTCTGAAGGCTCAGGCTGCACGGGGCTGATGCAAACACAAGGTTCAGGTGCAAGGCTCTCCGCTCTGCGCTGGGTGGAAAGTGCACAACGTGGAGGCCAAGGTTTATATGGTGCTACCAAGGACGCCTCCAAAGCCGTGACGGGGGCGGCAGGGGGGTGGCAAACACACCTCCCCGATCTGCTCTTTATTTCATTTTCTCCGGTCAGGCTGCACAGACACCGCAGGTGCTAAGGCATTCGCGTTAAGCGCCGCGAGGAGGAAGATCCTCGGGAAAACAAAACTTCCTCTTCCTGGCGTCTGCGAGGTGTCCCGAGGCTGCCCCAAGACAACTGCCCGACCCGGAAGCCTCCCAGCTGCGCCCCTGCGGAACCTGCTCACCAACACTGCGGGACGAGCCCGGCCGGGCAGCCGGCGAGGGAGGCGAGCCTGGCTCAGGCGCGCGCTCGTGCCGGAGCGCCAGCCCAGAGGCATGGCCCCGGTGGCCGCGCGGGGTCTCAGGCCAGGTCCAGCTTCTTCTGCATCACCGCCAGCTTGTCCTGCAGCCTCCGCTTCCTCCAGTCCAGGTAGCGCCTCCGCAGCCGGTTCGCCTGCCAGCCCACGAGCACTCCGGAGGCGAAAGCCACCAGCACCGACACTCGCAGCGTGCGCTCGGACACGTCCGCCATCGCGCCCGCCCGGGTGCGGCGCGGCCTACGGCGCGGCGGCGGGGTCAGACGGCGCAGCGCGCTCGCGGGCGGGTCGCCGGGAGGCGTGGCGCGGGGCGCGCGGGGCTAGCTGCGGGGCCCGCCCGCGGGAATGTTCTGGCCGCCTCCCCGCCAGCCCCCGCGCTATTTATTGTTGGACGTTAGTCAGATATTTCCTGGCGTAATTAGCCGACATGGGTATCTCTGGGCAGCAGAATACAACTTTAAATTTCCTGATAACTTTTTTTTTAAGTAAACAAATAGAAACAGATGAGATTGTTTTCGATACTGTATTTTGCTTATCCCACTATATAGCCAGGGTGTTATTTCAACGTGTAATAAGTTTACAATGATTAACGAGGCTTTTTTTTTTCACACAAAGTCTTTGAAGTTTGCTACATATTTTTACAGTCAGAAGCCCATCCCATCTCAACTTGAATCCAGTAGTTACTTGATCCATATCTTGATTTCATAAAATTTACCCTTGGAAAAAGTAGATGCATATGCCACGTTGTTCTAAACAAACATCAGAAACTTTCCGGTAACTGAGTTGCATATCAACTATCACATTTAAATTCATTAAAGTTTATTTTTAATGAAAAATCTGATTGTTCAGTCATACCAGCCACGTGTGGGACTGGTGGTTACCATATTATACCACGCACAACAGTGCAGAAGGAACCCAGGAAAGAATTGTTCCAGGAAAGGGACCACCACATTTCTAATAAGTAACATCATTGTCACACACACACACACACACACACACACACAGATTCCCACCTCTTGGTACTCAGGTCTTTGTCATCCCCTTCCCTTGAGAGGGGCTGGGACCTGTGTTGAGATGTTCCCAACATTCCTGTGGTTACAGTGTCTCAACTTGTGAAGGTTCAACTTAGCATTTTTTTTAAAGATTTTTATTTATTTGAAAGGCAGAGTTACAGAAGAGGTAGAGATATGGCGTTAGAGTACTTCCATCTGCTGGTGCACTCCCCAAATGGCTGCAGTGGTCAGAGTTGGGCCAGGCTGGAGCCAGGAGCTTCATCGGGTGTCCCACATGGTTGCAGGGGCCCAAGGACTTGAGCCATCCTCTGCTGCTTTCCCAGGTGCATTAGCAGGGAGCTGGATGGGAAGTGGAGCAGCCAGAACTGGAACCATAGGGGATGCCAGCACCTTTATATTATAAAGTCATACATGGGGCCTGCACGGTGGCATAGCGGGTAAAGCTACTGCCTGCAGTGCTGACATCCCATGTGAGCACCGGTTGGAGTCCTGGCTGCTCCACTTCCCATCCAGCTCTCTGCTATGGCCTGGGAAAGCAGTAGAAGATGGCCCAAGTCCTTGGGTCCCCTACATCCATGTGGGAGACCTGGAGGAAGCTCCTGGCTTGGGTCTGGCCCTACCCCAGCTGTAGTGGCTCTTTGGGGAGTGAACCAGCAGATGGAAGATATCTTTCTCTCTGTCTCTCCTTCTCTCTGTACAACTCTGTCTTTTATATAAATAAATAAATCTTTGAGAAAAAATTCACTTAGCAAAGGACTGTAAATGGCCTCTAGGAATAGCACAGTGCCTCTGTCTACAACCAGCAAACAGCTGGAACCATCACTGCTACAACCATATGTAAGTGAACTCTGCTGGCGACCTGAATGAGCCTGGAAGCAGATCTTCCCCTTTCCAGCCTCCACGTGAGAACACAGCCCGGCACTTGGATTGTAGCCATGTGAAGCCCTAACAGGTGACGCAATTAAATTGTGCCTGGACCCTGACCCATGGAAGGTATAAAATAAAGAATGTGTTTGTTTGGTTTTCTAAAGATTTATTTAAAAGAGCCACGTAGAAGGGGAGAGAGAGAGAGAGAGAGAGAGAGAGAGAGAGAGAGAGTTTTCCATTGCTGGTTCACTTCCCAGATGGCTGCAACAGGAGAATTTTGAGGTCAAATTAGGAGTCTATTAGCCAGCTGGCGACTGCCCTCTCAAGGAGCAAGTCCAGAGAAGACAGCCCCGAGTTGCAGTGGTGGGGGGTTTTAAAGGCAAAACCTACTTTTTTGGACATTTGATTATGCATGTGGGCTTGTGCAAGCAGAAAGCAGGCATACAGAAGCTAGAAGCAGTTAGTCAATCAGCCAGGTATTTTTTGTAACCTTATTGAAAAATGTAACAACTCAGTTATTCAGTTGTTCCGGGGTGGGGTCAAGCATGACGTCACTGATCTTGGTGCCACCTGTGTTGTCAGTGGCTGCAGCAGGGAGTAGACAGGAGAAACCAAAGGCTGGTGGCCTTGGCCATTATCAAGCAAGCAGAGGTACAGAAGCTAGAAATGGGCCAGCTACAAACTAACATTTATTTTTATGAAGAACAGGCCTTGTTTTAAAACAACCAAACAAAATAACCTATTGTCTGTAAGCATCTCTGTGTGCTATACTTTGTAGACAAGTTAGACTTTTGTCACTTGTCAAGGAGCCAGGAGGTTTCTTCTGGGTCTCCCACATGGATGCAGGGGCCCAAACACTTGAGCCATCTTCTGCAGCTTTCCCAGGCACGTTAGTCACAAGGTGGATCAGAAGTGGAGCAGCCGGGACCCAAACCAGCATCCTTACGGGGAGCTGGCTTCACAGGAAGCAGCTGTGCTTGCTACACCACAACACCAGCCCGGTGTGTGTTTTAAATCACTAAGTTTGTAGCAATGTGTTACACTCTCCCTCCTGGTTGCCACCCAGCACACTGGATACTTCTGACACCACCCGTGTGTGTGTGTCAGGGCAGTGCACTGCAGCAGACTCGCTAGATGTTTTTGGATTCAATTCAGTTCAGACACTGACCAACTGGCTATAAAGCAAGAGCTCCGCAAGCCCTGATGCCCCCGACCCCCACTCCTATGGAGTAGATTGATTCCCCAGAGAAGCTCACACAGTTCAGGGAAACACTACTTCTGTGTACTCATTTATTACAAAGGCTGTTACAAACCATATAGATGAGCAGCCAGATGGAAGAGATGGTAGGGAAAGACATGTGGAAAGGACTTTTTTATTTAAGATTTTATTTGTTTATTTATTTGAGACGGGGAGTTAGAGAGGGAGAGACAGAGAGTGAAGTCTTCCATGTGCTGGTTCACCCCCCAAAAGGCTGCAAGGGCTGGAGCTAAGCCAATGGGAAGCCAGGAACTTCTTTCGGGTCTTCCACGCAGGTGCAGAGAGGCCCAAGCACTTGAACCGTCTTCCTCTGCTTTCCCAGGGTATAAGCAGAGAACTGGATCTGAAGAGGAGCAGCTGGACACAAACTGGTGCCCATATGGGATGCCGGCGCCACAGGCAGATCTTTAGTTTACTACGTTACAGTGCTGGCCCCACAAAGGACTTTCATACTTGAGGTAAAATGTATCTTAGCAGGAATATGATAAAGAGTGTTGTGTCCGGTGTGAATTAACATCTGCCTGCTGCTAGTGGGCACTGAGCATGGAAAGGCGAGTGCCACACATGGCTGCCCTCAGAAACTTAGTGCCCAGGGAGGGAGATGGACACAGGTAGATGCGACACCCAGGCTGATCAGAGCGAGTGCATAGCTTAGTCTTTAGGGGCGGAGGGGGCCCCCAGAAGCACTCTCTCTCTCTCTCTCATGCTCCGTTCAGTCTTTCAGCCTAGCCTGTTCGTTCTGTTTCCAAAACATGGCCAGAGTGAAGCCCCTTCTTACCATTCTGCTGTTACTCCTGGGTCCAAGCAGCCGTCACCTCTTATCCACGTTACTGCAGTAGCCTCTGCCAGGTCTGAACTTCTATGACTGCCCACCACATTCTCTTCTTCACACAGAAGACAGAGTGAGGGGGTCTTTGCAATCAGAAGTCAGCTCTGCTCAGACCCTGCAGTGGCCAAAGCCCCCGCAGCAACCCAGGGTGCTCTGCAGAGCCAGCACCCCCACCGCTCCCCTCCCACGAGCTTGTCCACTGTGTCTGGAGCTCGCCTGGCCTGGTGTGTCCTGAGGACATCTGCACATGTGGGCCTCTGGCAGGCATCCTCTGCCCCTGGAACACGCATGGCTAATTTAACTCACCTCCCTGCAGTTTTGTTAGCTCTCTCAAAGTTTATAAATCCAGCCAGTCCCTCCCACCCCCAACTCTTGGGCACTTCTGCTCGCCATGATCCTCTTCTTCTGTTTTTATATCTGTTTTTAATTTGAAAGACAAAGAGAGAGAGAGAAATAGAGTTTCTACCCACTGGTTTACCTCTTATATACCCACAACAGCTGGGTCAAAGCCAAGAGCAGGGAATGAAATCCAGGTCTTTGGTGTGGATGGCAGGAACCCAACTTCTTGAACCATCACTGCAGCCACCTCCAGGAATATGCATTGGCAGGAAGTCAGAGCCAGGACTTGAACCCAGGTGCTCGGATATGTGACACCAGTGTCTTAACCACTAGGCTAAATACCTGGCCCCATGATCCTGTTCTGTTCTCCTCTAGTAATTGCTGTCTTCCCAGCTGTGATGTAATTTACTTACTTATTGGTTTGGTTGTTGATCAACTTTGCTCCCTGCTAGAATGTAAACTGTTTGACTAAAGTGATTTTTGTCTCCGTTGTATTCTAGAGAATCCCAAGTACCTAGAACAGAGGCCAGCACATAGCAGACACTTGGTCAGTCTTTGGTGTTGACAGCAGTGGGGAATGGTCAGGGAAAGCTTCTGGGTGGATGGCCGAACAGAATCTTGAAAGATGAACAGGACAGTCCAAGACTGAATGTCTCTCTCATCGTAGTTTTCCTATTTGTGAAATGAGTTTGGTCTGATTCCATTATAAAGGCCATTTTTGGCAGCCTGAGGCTGTATACTTAGGCCACTGGTGTTGGTGCAAATTTGAGCCTCACTTGAAATTCTAGCCCCATCCCTAAAATATCTTTGTACTAAAAATAAGCTGGGTCATCTACACGGAAGCCTCGCGTATGGGAACTGTGTAGGCACATGGGGCAGGCAGTGACCACAGAGACACCCTCCTGCTAGGGAGGAAACTCTGGCCAGTGGGGAGAGGAGAGCTGCCAGGGCAGAGGTGG